TCCACTCTATTCACTGATCATCACGCAGTCCAAATGCTTTTCTGTTATGAACGCAGTAATGCTAGTAGGAAGCATGTGTACGTGCATGCATGATTGTTTTGATCATTTTTACTTTCAGCTTACACGGCATGATTTGTTTTGCATGAATTTACAATGTGTGGCCAGATGATTGCTGTATAGATATAATAGGTGGATTAGTATGCAAAATTGTGTGGTATTTGCTCTGTGAAGCAAACAAATTAGGTGATATTTGCATGGAAGCTAGGTACATTTATACGTGTGCGTTTTTATAATAACAACATCTGTCTGGTGTGTGCTCATTAGCTCTCATTAGTGAGTAGTGATCGATTAGTGAGTGAATGAATCGCTGGTGGATGTCATCTTGGTTCATTTGATCTGCTGATCATTCTCTGGTCTCTTGCCTTGCTTTTGGGGCTGTCTTCTGAATCCGTCCAATAAGCTGATCAAATTTATGATTTAAATCTTATTTCGATAGCAGCTATATAAGCATGACACCGATGGTTACATTCAGGTGTTATATGAGAATGTGAGATAGGACAATAATTATTGAGTTAAACATCTCGTTCGGTAGAATATAGAAAGAAAATAATGGCGAAGATGTTTAAGATAGATATGATTGAAATGGAGTGATGTGATGACAGCAGCGATATAGAATAATAATGATAATTTATTTGCTGAGAGATATGGCAAATGCAAGACGAGTTGATGAATAAAAAACGGTTAGCAGTCAGATGAGGCATTCGAATACAGTTAAGGTGCATGCCATAAATCATTTCATAATGGCTTTATTCATACGAATGAATGAAAGATGATGAGAGTACGGTCGTGGCGCATGGCTTCTGAATGATAACAAAACAGAGTGTGATTTATTCGGTTTGACTAGATTAGTTTTTGTGAGATCTTCGATGAGAGATAACGTTTCGTCAATCGTAAATCAATAAAGCAGCTTTATTCATTAGTATTTGCGAATGATCATGCGAGACACTTACTTACTTGCACAGAATGCAATACTATGTTGAAATAGTTTCTACATAGTGGGTCATCTTCGATCTCGCTTAATATAATGCTCATTTTAAATGAGTGCTTAATATAATGCTCATTCATGCCTCATCTGACTGCTGACCGTTTTTTATTCAACATTTAATGTGAGGGTGGATATCTTCGGATATCTCATTGCTTGACTCTTTGCTTAAGATTAAAAGAAACCGATATATTATTCCAGTCAATGCTAAATTTCTGTATGCCATCGGGATTCGAACCTTCTGCCCGTAGGTGTACGCTCCAGTTAGTGATCTCGACTTTGCGGCTAAGCATTGTCGAAAGCTCATGATCAGTGGAATTTTGGATTGTAATAAAGTGCTTCGAGTTTCCAAATGTTCCCAAAGTTCCCTCTCGGGTTTAATTCCCCAACGAACAGTAATTTTTGTGCGTTATTCATCCATCTAATTCATATGCTTTTAACGTGTGATTTCCTAATAAATCGTCGAATATGTGCTTATATGAATGAAGAGTGTTCAGATAAAGGCAATGCTCAGATGGTTGTGTTTTTATTCGTATTTTTTTTCACCTCGTCGATGCTTTCATCACACATCTCTACGGCACGATCTCTAATTGCAACTGCTGAATTTACGTCGAGTATTGATGCGATTGCTGTTAACGATAAAAAGGTTTGCTGGCAACAATATCATATCGTTATTATTATTATTATGATTCGCTTGTTCAAATGGTTTACTATCTATCATCCGCATTATTAATATGTATACGGATATCGCTTCATGATTGCCTGAATGCATTAAAAAATTCAGCTGCCTATGCCCTTTTGCATCGTATCCAAATCCACTCTCATATTGAGCCTAATCGTAATTCTTTCGCTATATAGCCATACAACACAATGTTTTTATCATGCTTTTTGTGCGTTTAATGTGAGGGTATCAGCAGCCATTTATTTGAGTAATGCGTTGCACCATATGTGTAACATAAATCATCCGTTTATGCTTTCAGTGTCTGAATATCGAAACAGATATTGCGTTATGCGACAATACAATTTTATGAATGGATCATTAAAAAAACAATTTTGAATGGTCCCATATCCTGATAGTAAACTAAATATCTTTTAATAGGTAGAGGGAGGCAGATCTTTTAATAGGTAGAATATGATCAGGGAGATCAGTACTGGAAATCACTTGGGTAGATATTTTTGCAGTTGGATGTGGATTATTATGAAATGTTCTATAATCACAAAGCTAAAGATAAAACTATTTCAGATAGTGATAGCTTCAACGAATCACTTGTCAGTGCTCAATATTAGCACGTTGCAGTTGATAAGCGAAACAAAAACTGGTCCAGAGTATGACAGTAGATTGTGTAATTACGATGCTTCAGCATGTTTGAATAATGCAAATCTTCAATTGACAGATACTCAAATAAAAATTTTGCACATAATCAATGAAGAAACAATATTGTTGTGCGCATCCATACACCAGGGTGTATGTCACTTGAGGTCGTTCTCAAATCTGAACATCATTTACAATGGATCCATACCGATCGCACCGAATTCAGCCAATTCATCGTGCGTTTCGATCATTGATAAGAGTAGCGAAATACTCTATGTTGCATCTGAATACACCACAGAATCACCTTACAGGTTAATTTGACACTTTTGTTCTAATGAGGTGCGTTTACTGGTCATACACATAATTGTTGTTGTTTTCGATGACCAAGTTAGATTTTTGAGAGGATAATTATTTTTGAAATATTATTATAATTGGGGGACTATTATCGAATGGAAGCCATAGTGAATAACTGAAAGGGATGGATTGGAATCGGTAGTAGCTTATCAAATTAAATAGATATTATACTATTAAAGTCATGAAACATGATATATGTTTAGTTAATGAGCGATTTTCGTGGGCTGTTTATGAGCTCGCTTATAGTTGATTGGTATAATTTTAGATCGAATTACAAACAGATTCATTCGATAGCCCGAAGGGATAGTGTTATAAGCCATTAGCGTTTAGCGTGGTGTTTGAATGCGCAAAAAATAATGATGGTTTGGGGGTTAGGGAAAGAGTTATTTATTTGATGCTTATCTGATGCTTATCTTCATCGATATCTTTGGTTCATATGATCTGTTGATGGTGTATTCATCCATTGTTCCAGAAATATGCATTCAGTTTATTAACAAAAGGGATTGTGCACTTGACGGATCAAGATGAGTGCACTCAAAAACAACGATTATTAAAATGTTGTTATTATCTGTAATAATCGCCTCACTCATTTCAGAGAATCCTTTCCAGCAGTTTCATCCCGCGAACCACCCTATTATAATATCATAAACTCTGGATCAATAGAAGGTGAGGCTGCAGTGCATATCCGTGCAGAATACCGGAATCGATTCAAAGTGAAGTATATAAACGCGTTCTTACATCATCACTATGTCTTCTTCCTGAGTCTTCAGAATAAACACCCCTCGCCAAACGTCATCTCAAATTCTCCAATATCAAAGCTGATCCGAATTTGTAAATCTGATTATAGGTTAGTGTTTTAGTATTACTGTTATTTTTACGATTGTTCATTGCTATCGCTAATTCATTTTAAATAAAAACTTATTGAACAAATTCAGGTATGTATCATATAGTGAAATCGAAATTCAATGCAGAGATGCAGAGAATCGCAATTACAATCGGGTGGTATCGTCAGCACTAGTAAATGATCAGTTGGTAATCGCATTTACGGATCAATCCAAAAATCAGTCAGCGATCTGTGTATATCCAATCCAGAAGATTCAATTGACATTTTGGTATAATATTGACCGATGCCGGGTTGGCAGCGATACCGTTGGCTTACCTCACATTGGACGT